TTTTCGCCTATTTTAGGATGCATTAAAATATACAAAAACAAAGAAGTTACATGCCACTTTTTAAAAAGCTCTACCTGTGTTTTGATACTCTTTTTAACCGACTTCCAAAAAAGGAGGAGGTTATCAGTTCGTCCGAATATTTTATTTTATTTTATTCTTTTTTTTTTTTTTTTTTTTTTTTTATTTTTTTTTTTTTTTTATGTATGTTACCGCATAACTTTGGACCACGTCAACCGATTTCGATAATTCTTTTTGCATCGGAAAGGTAGTGTCTCAGAGGTGGTCCCATACTAATCTGGTTAAGATCCGATCAGCGGATCATGAGATATATATATATATATTTATTTTTTTTATATGGGAGTTGAAGTCGGTTTTTTTTGCTAAAAATTACTAGTTTTATAATATTTTTTGATTCTGTACTTAAAATAAAAAAATTGTTGGGTGGGGCCTTTGTGATTAAAGTAAGAAGGCTGACTTCCAAAACGTCAATTGCTGCGTATAAAGTATAATGTTCCATAACGCCGAACTACAAAATATTGTTAATGTATACTTTTCCAAAACGCATCTGAAAAGTTATCGAAACGCATCGTTAGAGCAATCAGCGCATCAGAAACAAAGTTAATGCTTCGTTTGTTATTGCTTACCATTGGTGTTTTAAAAATGGAAAACCCAGGAAAATTGTTCACTGCTATATTGAATATTTAAAATATGCAATGTATATGGTTGCAATGTGTCGCAACTCTGCATTTACAAACACTTTGAATACCGCAGTATAACAGTATCCAAACATTGTATTGATACGTTTTGGAAGTCGGGATATTTTTTCATTTCAGTGAGCAACATGGTAAGGTACTCGTTCAGCATTATATTTTATTTACATACATTTGAGGGATTCACAACGGCGTCGTAATTGTCGTATTGTTGTATGTCGTAAGCTTTAAAAGCTTAAATAAATGTTTAGAGAACTTTAAACGACAATCCCCATTTTTTAACACTTGATGGTACATTGCTAACCCCCTTAATATATATTTTAGGCGTTTAAAGCTTACGACATGCAACAATACGACACTACAACACCGTTATGAATACCCAAATTGTATTACAAAAATTTGAACAAAAATACAACATTCAAAAAAACCTAGTGTATGCATGTATCACGTTTGATAGCTGTTGGCCACACGAACAATGACTCATACTCAGTTTTACTGGATCCATTCGTATTCTCGAGAAACACAATTTTATGATCCAAAAATCTGAGTACCCCGCCAATTTGTTTTTCTCCAAATTTTGAAAAATCATCGTTTTTTGGCCTATATTAGCTTTGTATGCTATTTTCAACAAAAACAGGCAAAAAAACGTTAGATTTTCAAAATTTGGAGAAAAAAAATTAGGCTGGCCATTGTACTCAGATTTTTGTATCAAGAAATGTTTTTTTCTCAAGAACACTAATTGATCTAGTAATCTGAGTATGAGGCGTGGTTCGTGTGGCCAACAGCTACCAAACCTGATTTATGCGCACTCGCAAGAGTTTTTCTTGTATTCCTCAGTGCTATATGCAGTGCTTTGAAAGCAAACTCGAAAGAAGTGAGTAAAGTTATTCAGATTTCAATTATTTTCTTATGAGTAAACAGTAAATACTCAGGATATGATTAATCACATTTTTTGATTAATCGGGATTATGATTAACTAAAAATGTATTTAATCGATAATTCGCTCCCTAAAAAGGGTATGCATACATCTATGGCCAAAATAATAGAAACGCATTATTTTGACTAGTTTTGACTTTTTTTTATTTAAAATCAATTAATTTTTTATGAATGTTTATATACAGTGGTGGAAAAATAAATAGGGACACGACATTTCAACAAATTTTGCCTACTTTTCTTTTGTTTATTTATTATATATTATTTTTTTTTATAAAAGTATAGCTCATTATCGTAACAAAAACCATATAAATTAATATTTACAATTTTGTGCAAAAATTACGAAAATTCTGCATATTTGCATCTCAATTTTCAACTTTTCAAACAGATTTTTCAGAATTTTTTTTTGAGTATGCAGTTTTATAGCCCAATAAATTTAAGTACAATAAACACACAAGTATTACCCATTTTTGTCCGTACAAAAAAAGAAAAAAATGGTCGAACATACTTTGTATGGAAGAAAATGCGCTAAAAAAAAATTGCAAAAATCAACGCGATTTTTTATCAACTTAAAATTTACACTTCATTCTATTAAAATTTAATGGGCTAGAAAACTGCGTACTCAAAAACTTTAAAAAAAATCTGATAAAAAGGTGAAAATTTAGATGCAAGTTTGCAGAAATTTTATAAATTGCGCACAAAGTTTGAAATATGAATCTATATGGTTTTTGTTAGATAATGAGCTATAATTTTATAAAAAATAATAAATATTAAATAAACCATAGAAAAATAGGCAAAATTTGTAGAAATGTCGTGTTTTTTTCCACCACGTTACTTAACAGCAATAATGGAAGTCTTAATTTAAAAATTTTTGCAAAAATTAGGATAATTCACGAAAGTTTCATCAAAATTGTAAATTTTTTAACCCAGATATAGGTTAGAAAATTTTTTGATACGCAGTTTTACAGTATCGGTCATATCTATAGCACGCCATTTCAAAGTGATATTGTGTGCCACTTATGTTTATTTATTTATTTTTAAGAATTTTCAATTAAAATACAGTTCTTTCTCTAACAAACTTCAAAAAAGTGCAACAAATTTTCACCTAAGTTTCAAACTTTTTTCTCGGAAGTGTTAGATTTTTTTCGAGTACACAGTTTTTTAGCCCCTGCAATTTTAGTCTGATAATGTGCAAATTTCAAGTAGGTACGAAGTACCGTTAATTTTTTAGAATTTTTTTTTGTCGCATTGGCTTCCATATAATGAATAAACTCAATTTATTTGTATATGGAGGAAAGCCGCAACACCTTTGGAGAAAAAAATTCTAAAAAATCAACGGTAACTTTCAGTCACTTGAAACTTGCACATTATCAGACTAAAATTCATTGGGCTATAAAACTGTGTATTCAGAAAAATTCAAACACTTCCGAGAAAAAAGTTTGAAATTTAGGTGAAAATTTGTTGCACTTTTTTGAAGTTTTCTACAAATTGTTAAACTTGGATTTATATGGGGTTTGTTAGAGAAAGAACTGTATTTTAATTGAAAATTCTCAAAAATAAATATATAAACATAAGTTGCACACAATATCACTTTGAAATGGCGTGCTATAGATATGACCGATACTGTATATGCCATTAAAGCTCGGTATAATAAGGTGTAAGTTTGAAGTTGCTAAAAAATTACGTTGATTTTTGATATTTTTTTGCTGACGCTGTTATACGATGTTTCCACGATTCGTAATTCCCTCTAAGTAATTCGTGAATGACCCTGTTTCCACAACACATATTAGTAACTCGTTGGGCAGCTCTACTTCATGTTCTTGTTCTTCGCTATTTATTATTATCTTTGTGTACTGAAAATATCGAAGATGCAGCAAAAATTTTATTCATCAAAGATTTTAATATTAATATATTCCGATAAATATTAAAGAAGGCACCGATTCATTCGTCATTCGCATGGTAATTCGATCTGAATTACCTACAAATGAGGTAATTCGCTCTCAAAATTTTGTATAGCGAATGACGAATGGGAGAGCGATTTACGAATGAGAGTGCGAATTACGATGCGTGGAAACGTGGTATTACACGTTCCCGGCGGCGATGACATTGCTTCAAATTTTCTTAAGGAAATAAAAGATAGCTGTAAAAATGCAAAACTGAGAGTCAGTACAAAACATTTGCCCTAATTTACATTTTTGTATGCTGGTTTTTTATTGTTGTTGTATTGGTTTCAAATCGTTATGAGAAAGGAAGTGGGGTGCACCAACAAGAATATACAACAAAAGGATGAAAGTCGTTAGAACTTGAAAATATAGCGGTGGTTGAAATATAAAGTGTTACACCATGTTACAGTTTTGCTCGTCACTGTATGTACTTATTTAAAAATTAAATGCTTTCACTTATAAATGTACAGTGGTGGAAAAATAAATAGGGACACAGCATTTTTTTCAAATTATGCCTTTTCTTTTTTTTTTATTTAATATCTATTTTTTATTAAATTATAGCTCATTATCCAACAAAAACCATATAAATTCATATTTCAAACTTCGTGCAAAAAATATATAAATTCTTCAAAATTGCATTTAAATTTTCAACTTGTTAATCAGATTAAAAAAAAAAATTTTTTGAGTATGCAGTTAAATTTTAGTGGAATAAAGTGCAAGTTTCAAGTTCCTAAAAAATCGCGTTGATTTTTAATAATTTGTATTCTGAATGTGCATTATTCCAAGCAAAAAAATTGTCGAACATACTTTGCATGAAAGAGAATGCGTAAAAAAATTAACAAAAATCAACGCGATTTTTTAACAACTTAAAACTTTTTCACTTCATTTTACTACAATTTATAACAATAAAATAATAATAGATTGGCGCTTACACATATGTTAGTGTTTGGCCGAGCTTCTCCTCCGATTTGTGGCGTGCGCCTTGATGTTGTCACACAAAAGGGGAGGGAAATACAGTTTTACGCCGACTCCGAACGGCGATTGTATTTTTATGAGAAGCTGCTTTTCATGGCAGAAATGCACTCGGCGGTTTGCCATTGCCTGCCGAGGGGGACGACCGCTGTTAAGAAAAAACCTTTTTTCTATATTTTTTTGTGCGACTAAACCACAGCGGCCTCCATTAGGCGTTTTAAAAATTGTATTATGGTGTGCAAATGTCCAATTTTAGTTATTGTCCCAAGAAAGAAGACTCGCAAGAAAACGCACTTCTTACCCCTTCTTCTTACTTAAGGGAAATATGAAATTTTGACATTCATGTATCGAGGCAAATAAAATCAGCTGTTCCAGCAACACCACCTTATATAAATTTGCCTTGATATTGAGCTTAACTTTTTTTATAAAAAAAAAAAAAAAATGATAAGTATCGGTAACTTATTATTAAAATTAAAATTTTAAGTTAAAAGAGCAATGGCTGCAAATGCCTTAAGTTAACTTCTGTGTTGAATTTTTTATTTTATTTAATTTTTTTTTAATTACACCGGCACACGAAAAAAGTGATTCGTACATTTAACCAGACCGCCTACCGACATGTACATCGAACCGCTAAATCCGAGTGTGAAGTCCGTTTGACTCGTGCACTCTCAAAATTTCGAGTCAATTGCGAAAAACCAATGGAATTTTCCAGTAATCTGCCGGCACCCCATTTTTTTATATATTGCTGAGTCTCCACTAGGCATTACATACATGACGAATGTTGACCATTAAAAAATACCTTTACGTTCGTTGAAATAGTCTTTGTCTCTTTCCACACGGCATTTTTTAAGTTGCATACAATTGAAAATAACAATTTTCATAAGATTTCTTTAAAACTTTTGTTCCCTTACACACTGTTATATTTATTTTTTTCTTTTTTGATATAAAGTTGTTAGCGCTGTGCAGCAAATGAAAATATCTACACAAAATGTAAGTCCGAATGCATCAGTGGGTGGCACCCAAACGTTTCAACGCAAGACAACCAGAATATATAAGTGTATTTCATGCGATTATAAGACATCTGATATGCGATTATTTAATACACATTATGAAACATGCAAATCACAAAATTTCCAGTGCAAGAATTGTAAGAAAATCTTCCCGAACTTTGGTAGCATGAAACAGCATATGGTGCGTGAACACAATACCACTATGGATAATACCTGTGCAGTTTGTCATATAAATTTTGTAAATGAGCCAGCTTTGCGAAAGCATATGGAAGCGAATCACAGCACAAATGTTGTTGTAACAAGTACGACGACACTTCCATTAACACAACAGTCCGCAGCAGAGGCGGCGAGTACAACAGGCGCCACCACACCACTTTATACATGTAACCATTGTCAATTCAAATCCACAGACAAAGCGCTCTTTGATGAGCACTTCAGAAAGCATTTGTCCGGTGTAAAGCCCAAACCATTTAAATGTCGGCTATGCGCTCAACGCTTTGAGACTCGTGAAGCTGCTACTGTCCATGCTAAACAGCATCAGCCGAACTACTTCAAATGCGGCACCTGCGCCATGTCCTTCCCAAAACGCGAATTGCTAGTTAAGCATTTCGAAGTGCATCAGCAGTCCCAGCAACAGCAGCAGCAGCAGCCGACCACAACCGCTACAGTTGTACAACATCAACAAATCGTTACACAATCTGCGCCAATAGTCAAACAGATAACAACAAAACAACAGCAAGCGACGTCGCAAAATATTTTGACTACACAGAAGTTATTGCAAGAAACCATCGACGAGGCATTAAGTGACAATACAGTAAATACCGTTGTAAGCAGTGCTGCTAACACAGATGTGTTGCCTACCGCAGCCAACAACATACGTTTCTTTTCATGCCACATCTGTTCTCTTACATTCATACAAGAAAATTATTATAATCAACATATGGAAGCGCATCGTCAGGACAAGGAAGGCGTTGGTAGTGGTGGAAGCAGTGGTACTACAATTACCACTTCATCGTCATCGGGTTCGGGTGGTAGTATGCTACATCCGAGTGCTGCTGCATTACTTAGTGACGACAACAAAGGTGATGGCGGCGACAGTGGTGATCTGTCATCGCACCAAGGTGGCGGTAGCGGCGTGGAAGCTGACATTGAAAGCATTTTTGAGAAAATGCATTCCGATAAAAATGATAGCGCTGGCGATACGTTAACAACATCAGCTGCCAATACCGCAACAACTACGAATACCACATCTGCGACTGGGCAAAGCAGTAGAGACAGTTTGGTTATCACATCACAACAAGGCACGGGTGGTATTACATTTAATATTACTATTCCACAGCCAGAAACTGGAACTACACAAGAGGCAAGAGATGTGAGTATTTTGCAAAATAGTTCATAAGGTTATCTTACATTTTGAAGTGAAACTTCGATAAAAATGTGGCACATGTGATGCAAGGAAAGGGCATCATCTCTCTTTATTATTCCACCGCTATATTAGTATAGTAGGTACATATGTTTATTTTTTTATATTTCCTATTTCACTTACTATAAATTTATAATCATTTATGGAATATGCAATGAGATTAATAATTTGCTTTGTATCAAATAAAATACGCTAAATTTTGTAAGTATAAATGTATATATATTTCAAGCCAATAAGATATTCTCAGCTCCCATTGTCTTCATATCAGAAAATTTATTCCGTGCGTACACCAAATCAAGAGAAGTTTCACTTACGTAGTGTGGCCCTGACGCACTGTATTTGTCTCCATTAAAGTCGCATATCGTCATCATCAATGCAAAATGCCCTACATATTTGATATATTTTCAAATATCATCTTTTGTATTTATGGTGACGATATCGTAATGATAAGAATTGCATCCTCGGATTTACTCATAAACTCTTGGTTACTCCGTTGCAGAGCTCCAAATCTATACCGACAAGCACTGCGCCCGTATCCGTGAGCATAGATATGCCAGTATTGGACCAACCTGACGAAGGCTTAACCCCAACGGCAGTTGGCAAATCTGAAGGAAACAGTGGAAAAGAAAAGCCAGTCAGTGGTGGTAGTATAGGTGCTGATAGGAAAGTGTCTGCACCTGTTAGCATGCCAAGTTTAGATGATGATAACGATACGCAGGAGCATATGCAATCACAATCAGCGCAGGAAGATAAACCCTCGTCGGAAGCAAAAAAAGGCAGTGACTCAAACGAAGAAAATGCGAGAACAGCTGGAGCAAAACAGGAAAAGGCTGAACAATCTTCTAAAGCGGAGGGAGCTGAATCAGCCTCAGGAAAGGGGGCAAGTGCTGCTGCCGCGAGCGCTTCAGATGCTAATGGCGATGTCCAATCGGACAATACCGCTGCCGGCGGTGAAGGAGAAGGCGACCATCATCAACAAGTTTCAATGGAATTAGACGAGGCCATGCAAGCGCAAGTGGAGGGCGGTCAAATAAAGTTCATACTTAATGAAAATGGACAGCTATTGCAACTGGATAATCACATCATTACCGATGCTGATGGCAACCAAATACTGGTACAAGATCCCGAGCAAATCCAACAGCTTCTGCAAAGCGCCGGCCTATTGCAATCTGGCGACGGGCTTGATGGTGAAACCTTACAAATGATGACGGATGCTAATGGTCAGATGGTTTTGGTGCAGGGTGAGAACAATGAGACGCAACTGATCGATGCTTCACTTCTGAACGCCGACGGACAATTGGTAATACAACAAGGACACGATGGTGAACTAGGCGAAGGAGCACATGTTATTGGTGAAGACGGCACGCGGATACCTGTTTCGGTATCGTACACTGCCGATGGGCAACCGATCGTTAGAGTACAACAACAAATGTTGGAAGCATCTGGCGGGGAAGAAGATCAAGCTGTGCTCGAAAAAGATGCGGCTGCAGCAGCGACTACCACCGAGGAGGAGGGAACGTCAGAGGTAGCGGCAGATGGTGCAGCCGCTGCAACAACCAGCGCATCTTCAGCGGCAAGCGGTGACGCGGCGACTGGTGGCAATGGTGAAGGCAATGTAGCTGCGGCCAGAGGCGGTGATGCCGGCAGCAGTAGTGGTGGAGATTTCTTTCCTCTAGAAGATCTTATGCAACAATCGGCGGAGGGTAAACCCGCGGAATAGGAGTGGCTTTAGGAGAGCATTAATTGTACAATTATTGCAGACGATTGGAATTTCTAGAGTGAGTAAAATCTTATACACATCGTCGTTTGGAAGTGCAAAAGCGTGTATCGTGGTTCTGCGAAACCTCGTAAATGCCAAATCTTAGATTTGCTTACCGCAAACTCCTGGCATCAAGCGTTATCTATTCACACCAAAATATCGATTTTGATATAAAAGGAAAGATAATTAGATATAAAAGAGAGAACCCTGTTGAAATTAGGGCAACCTCAAATACGAGGTTTGGCATTATCTTAAAACGCGGTTTTGCACTTTCAACGGCGATATACGTACACACATATAATATAGATTTATGATATACGTAGAGGTGGTAGGTAAGTGCGATTAAACCTAATTCCAAAAACAGCACTTTGGAATAAAAGTACAGAGCATAAATTAAATAATCGCAGCCAACGGTATACCAGTGATTTTTTAAGATCTGATAAATATTTAGATTAGTTTTCTATTGCGTTTAAAAAATTAAAGGATTGGAATTTGTAATTAAATATATTTCAGTAATTGACCGTAAGCTCGGTTTCGTTAACGCGGGTCGGTTCTCTGAGAAAAGAGTACGGTATTTTCCAAACACAAAAATAAAAAATATGTTATTTCGACTGCAAATCATCAATAATGTGAGGCAAATTTAAATACTTTAGCTTTGGCCTTGATTTCGGCCGCATTTAAAGAGAGATCCGGCCTCTGGATTTGGCCAAAATGACGGATTTCATTATTATATGGAGGAGGTGCGTTCACGCACACGTACTTGCTTAACTAGGAATTATTTTATATTTTTTATTACATACTACATATGTACGTATATTTTAAAAACTTTCACATTATAGTAATAGTTGACTAATTAGATGGAAAATAAGTATGAAAAAATCTTTGCAGATTTTAACTTGTACAACACACCTGCATGCAATGGTGAGTTAGTCGGAACTTAAAGTGCCGCATTTCAAAAAGCTGGTGAATATGACTCAAAAGATGGGAAACCGCGGATATGGCAAGTTAAAAACTGAAAATAAATAGATTTTTATATTTTAAAGAAAAACAGTTTCGAAGTTAGCGTTTAGATAACTATTAATTAACTTTAGTTATTATTAAGTTGTAAAATAATGTTAAAATAACATAAAATAATATTAAAACAGATATATAGAAATTTAAAATTTTTATTCTTATAAGGTACTTGTGGGACTTGTATTAAAAATTTTATTAAAAAATAATAGATAATTGTTGAGTAGAGGAGGGAGGAGAAAATGTATTCACCACTGACTAAAGTGTTTGAAATTTTGTTTCGATAATTTCGAATCGCAGAGTACAATGCCGGTTCCAACAGCGGGGGTTGGGGGCTATTTTTATACCTTTCATAAACATGTATTTTAACTTTGTCTGATGTTTGTAAGTACAAGAAAAAAAGATATGCCCATGCAAATGTTGACCAAAATTATCAGCACGTTTTGAACGTTTGAACGCAATCTTTATCCCTCAGTTTTTGAGATACCCAACTGAAATTTGATAGTTGTATTTTTATAACGTATTCATCATTTTTCGAAACCGGAAAAATCGGACAACTATACCTTATGTATAGCTCCCATAAACGGATTGTTTAGATATGAGATTTTTTTTATAATGCCTAATTTTCACTTGGCATTAAA